TGATACGAGCCTTGGATCTATCTGGCACACCTGTGCCGCCCGATCTGCAGACCCTGTGGAACGACTATAAGGCGGCGCAGGAGGCGGAGGGCAAGACGGTGCATACTGGCGGCGGCTTCAGTGGCAAAGGCTTCAAATTCGATGAACAGGAATTCAATGCGGTCAAGGAGAGCAAAAAGTTGCAAAAGGCTGCGCTCGGCCTGGCCGATTCCGATGATGAGGAGGACATCGAACAGGATATCGATCAGCAGATCGAGCAAATCTTTGCCGCCAAACGTACCGTCAAGGATACCTCGCTGGCCGGCACAGCTCTGGCCGCGGCCAATGCCGTTGTGAATGCCCTCAGTGCAGTTATCACATCGCCCTTGAATGTCGCCCAGCAGCAGCAGCAACAACAACAGCAACAACAGCAGCAACAGCAGCAGCAGCAACAACAACAACAGCAACAGCAGCTGGCCACTGCTGTGGCCATGGGCTCCGACAAGCTGGAGCTGGCCAAACGTTTGGCGTCCAAGATAAGCAGCAGCCGTAATCTGGACACAAAGGCTACACAGGCGGCCGCCGAGTCGATATTGAAGGGCCAGTCGGGCGTTGGTACCGCACAGCCCATGCTGACGGCACGCACCGTGGTTGAGCAGCTGGCCGCCAAGCTGAATAACAAGCTTAATTATCAGCCCAAGGAGGATGAGGAGGGGCTGGCGGCGCTGATGGGCACCAACAGCAATTCGTTTACCAAATACGAAGAGGAGCTGGAGATTAATGATTTTCCGCAACAGGCACGCTGGAAGGTTACGTCCAAGGAGGCACTGGCCCAAATCTCCGAATACTCGGAGGCTGGTCTGACAGTGCGTGGAACCTATGTGCCTCAGGGCAAGAATCCGCCCGAGGGTGAACGCAAGCTCTATTTGGCCATCGAGAGCTGTAGCGAACTGGCCGTGCAGAAGGCCAAGCGCGAAATAACGCGCCTCATCAAGGAGGAGCTGCTGAAGCTCAGCTCGGCCCATCATGTGTTCAACAAGGGTCGCTACAAGGTCGTCTAGAGTTTGTTGTAAATGCCCGGGGACTCAATTGAATTACTAAATACCACCATGTCGCCAACTGCCAAGAATCGTGTATACACTATATATAGACTATCTATTCTCTTGGCCACAAAAAAAAAAAATAAGAAGAAAAACTCAATGAATTGCGGTTTATAAACGCCTAAGTTAATCACAAAACAAAACAAAACAAAAAAAAAAAAACGTCTAATCTATCATTAAACCCTTTTATAACTTGGCGCCAATAAATACCAAAACAATTAAGTTCTATGTGAGACCGTATTCTATCGTTGTCTTGGACGCAATTCACAGGAATTCATATAGGAGCACTACGTAATTTAGGTGCAAACTGTTTGTTATATTAACCCTAGACATAAATCGCTAAGTTTCCCATGTCAAAAACAATTAAAAACATTTAAATTGCGCATTTCGAATTTGTGCACTATAAAACATACTGAATACCCAACGTAGACACAACACACTTAAATTTGTTTTCCTATCTATGTTTTTCATTTTAAGATTCACATTTTTTGACGAGATTTGAAGCAATAAATGAATATTTATGCCCAAGCATAAAGGGTAAATGTATAAGTGATATTCAAATGAAGCATATATATATATATACACATAATCTGAAGCGATATCTAAAGTTTATATACATATATATTCATGAGTTCTACTTGAATCATGTGGCATGGTGTCAAATGATATGGCACACAATAATGTGCGAAATAATGTTTTTAATGATAGTTTCTATAAAACAAAACAAAAGAAAAACCATGAGAATATGAAAATCAGCAATTGTAATTAAATCGATTGTTAAACACAAACAGAAAACTATTAAAACGTTAAAAATTGCGATGCGTTTGAATATGTAACTGCCATGGAGAACTTTAATCGCGTGAATTGTGAATTCAAAATAAAAATGAAAGCTGCAAAAAAGTGTTACCAGGCTTTTGCCAACAAAACGAAAACTTTACTAGCTGACAATTATCGATGACAATTATCGATATATCGATAGGCGAGATCTTAAAGATTTA